AGGTTTTTTCTGCTTTGGTATGGCGCAGAAATTATTCATTATGTAAAAGATACGTGATAAATATCAATGAAAAATAATCATTATGTAAACCAATACTACAAGACTGTTAATTATAAAGTTTAGTGAGCATGATACACAATTATTGCTGTGCTGTTTGTTCGTCGTTTCTTCGCAATAAATAAGCAAGCAATCTTTCGCGTCCCGCCTATCGATGTCTATTAAATTGATCCCAAACAAGTCAGTGTTAAATAAATTCAACTTTCTCTTAGAAATTAATGCAGTTAAGCCGAAACAACCGATGCAAGTACTGAATGCTGCTTTAAAATCAGTGAATGTCATTTCTTATAGTTAGCTGTTGGCTTCGGAAAATTATTGAACGATGAGAACTACTTGAATTAAAGGGCTTGATTCAGCACCCAAAAGGAACTGGCCTTGCAACACCGAAAAGAGCATCATTTTCAAAGGTGTATGGTGTAGCCAATGGAGGAAATTAGAGAGCTGGCTAATCAGGTTGATCCGGGAATTATTACAAATCTTGTTTCTTATTTGTAAAGCAGGATGCAACTTCGAATCATTTTTAACTCCTTTTGCAGCTATAGATCTGCGCTACGAATTTGAGCTACACTTGTCAGAACAGGAAACAGGAGGTTGGAGATTATGCAAAGGTTCAGTTGTGCCACTTTAGGTCTGAATCCTTGCCTTATTGATCGAGCATTATCTTCGCCACCTTCCTCCTCTTCTTCCCCTTCTTCTGTTGTAAGAAAACTCGCGAACCGCTCCTTGAGATTCAGATTAACTTCAAATGAGGACTATAGCAAATCAGCACTAAGCGATGACTGATTATTTTTTCATACTATGGTTGTGTCTGATTTGGCAGACCTGTATGGGCGTACATCAGATCAAGCGCAGTTTCGAATCCGTTCTCCATGCTGATCCTGGCGCGTCGCTTTTCGTCATCCCTTGTAAGTCGCCTGTTCCGAATCCGCCTCTGCATGCATTAACATTAGTTGGCAAGAAATCGATTCTCTTTGCCAGCTGTGTGTGGGTAATCAGCATGTCAATTAATTAGGCATGTAAACATCACGTCAGCAGCCCATCACGTTTCCATGCAGAAGCGGTTTTGCGCACGAAGCTAATTCGTGTAGGCTTGACGATAATTAGATCAAACGTGCCATGTTACAAAATCATGACGCATGCGCAAAATGAATGAATGAAAATAATCAATGAACATATAACGTCTTTGTTTATATGAAGAGCTCTTTCAATACTCCGTACCGCATGGGATCTTGCTAAACTTATCTTCACTTAGCAAGAAATCAATGATTTTTGTAGCATTTGACAGGTGTTTCATTTTACGTTGAAAATATTGGAACATGAAATTTAATTACCCCGCTGCCTAAGCGGAATGTGAAAAAATCAAATTTTTTGAAAAAAATATTATAATTGAGACATGACTCTCTCAAGACCAGATTTCACGGCGTATTGCACAGTCTATTATTCCCAGTTGCATTGAGGCATTTAAACAGGCCATGACACAGTGAAATTTGAACTTATACAGTGCCAGATGCTTTTGTTAGCTATAGCACGTCGCGCTCACTATGGATGATATTTTAGAATCTAGCACTCCCTATATATTATTGAATAGTCATCAGAATAAGTTTAGGATATTTAATTTTAGAATATTTAACTGTCGTATGACGCCTCCAGGCCCAAGCCGTACAAGATAGATGCAAGGTTTGATGAGTCCCAGCAAGATTACGTTTCTAACACCACGAGTTTGTCCTTACCAATGAATTCAGTTCTACAGCATGTTACATGTTCGCGAATTTCCATATCGCAGCCCTATTTTTGTTCTGGAGGGAATGAAGAAACTGGAGAAAAGAAGATTTGCTTCTGTTCAACACCATCCACAGTCAATTGACATAGAATGTGCGATGCGATGGCTGTCACCATCACTTTGGTTAGTGTTTAGTTAATAATTTTGGCAGCAATTGTTACAATTCTGCTTATATCATGCCAAAGGCATTTTCCATAGCTGGAATCCTGATGGTCCACACAATTTGTTGGTTACAACATCCACCACCTAAGCTGATTTATTCAAAGGGTAAAAGCTGTCTGTCAGTATTTTTTAGCCGACCATTTGAAATTCATGAAAAATTTTCATTGCAGTGATGGCAGGTAGGTAGAGCTCATTATGTCGTGTCTCGTATGCGATTGTTTATATAATCTTTATCCTTCTCTTTCTGACGTGACTGCCGGAGTTGAGTTTCTTGGTGAGTAGCCATTGAGAGAGCCCGATTCTATTGCTATTTCCGTGGGTAAAGGAATTTCATTATATTCATTAATTAATTTAATTACTTTTCAGTTACTAGTTATTGATATAATAACCCAGAAGCTTCCTATAAACGGAAGTCGACTCTACTTCTAAGGATTTCTTCATCCTCATTAGTAAAAAGTTTCAGAACGAAGTTTCATCCGGATTAGTTAACAAAGTTGATGATTTAGGCGATTTGCCTGATTCAAAGAACCCCCAAACAGTGGTAGACATTCCAGAAGCAGCGCAATGCAAGGATGAAACCAAAGACAACGAGGTAT